TGAATGGGTGAGAAAAATAATCGTCTCCATTGCTCTTCCACTGTGTGATGCAATGGCAATTCAATGAATCAGTGTCTTTTTGAACACACACTGTTCGATCTTGCAAAAGTCACATCAATCTTATTGGATGTTTTGTGAAAACTGGGCCTCTTGCTAAGCACTGCTTGAATGTCTTTATATTTTACGCCAATTTCAAAATAAGACTCAATAAAACTCTCGAATGGGTGGGTGTCCTCGATTGTCGTTTCTCCGTACTGCCAAAAAGACCCAGGCTGTGTCTGAAATCACCCACTATATAGTGCACTATATGGGGTGTTCGCCATTTTGTAGTGCTGTCCGAATGTCCATGCATCCTCACTAAGGTTGTCGGGGGGCTGGAGTCTATCCCAGCCGACTTAGGGTGAAGGTAGGGGACACCCTGGACAGGTCACCAGTCTATCACAGGGCTACACTTAGAAACAGACAACCAAGCACACTCACATTCACACCTACAGACAATTTAGAATTTAGAATCACCAATTAACCTTTTAGACTGTGGGAGGAAGCCAGAGAACCCGGAGTGAACCCACGCTGCACAGGGAGAACATGCAAACTCCATGCAGAAAGATCCCGGGTGTCCTCACCGGGACATGAACTGGTGACCTTCTTGCTGCGAGGCAACGATGCTAACCACCACACCACCTTGCACCCCATTAGCCGAATGTTAAGTTACACATGTTACACCCTATAATGCACTCATGATATCCCACTATGCACTGTGAAAAGTAGTGTACAGCCGATGGTCACTAACCAAGCGATATGGACCATCATGCATTGTGTGAAAGGAAATGGAAAGAGGAATGAGAGCGCAAAAACTTGTCATTAAAATGTAAGTAATTTCTCGAGGTGCTCCGGACATCGTTCACTACATAGTGGTCCCTATAGTGAGCAGGGAGTCAGTGGATGATTTCAGACACAACCCCAGAAGTATACATACCTGTAGATCTCACAAAAGTTATAACGAGATCCACAGAAAGTTTTTGCAAGATCTCACAAAAGATACCTCAATCTTTTTTCTCTTCCTGCTTTTTTCTTTCTACGTGTCCCTTCCGGGGCTCCATAGAAGAGAAATAGGAACACAGCGTCCAATTCAATGATAAATTAATTCTCTTTAATTTAAGGGAATAAATTGTTCCAATACAATCTCATCTCTACTTAAGAAAGGACGTCATTAAAAGCACGTCTCTAATAAAAATAATGGAGTCATGCAGCAAAAATCCCAAGTCACTAATTACACGCACATGTAGGACACACAGCGTTATAAGGTTGTCAGCTTTGGTTTCAGTTGATGGGACAGGATCAGATAGTCGGTAGATTGTCTGTTATACCATGTTGTCTGAAATGATTTGTGAGACGACAAATAGTGGAGATGTGGTTATGGTATCCAGCCTGCTGTGATGACTCCTGAGGTCATCTTGAGGCTGCTTCTAGTTTGTGTTTACTGAGTCTGTGAGTGGGTTATTTAAGGACTGACTGCAGTCTAATCACTCTCTGCTTCCCTCTGCAGGTAACACACCGGTGTGGTTATGGTTTTGTTTCTTCCTTGAGGATATTGTTTGCCTTTACAACCCTTGCACAGACATAATTCATGCATGCATCACACACACGCTGCTGTGATTCTCACAACCCCATACTGGTTTGGCTTTAATTTGGCTTGGTTTAAGTGAATAAAAACACAAGCTTTAATTGTGATACTTGGTGTATCTCTCCTTTTGCCGTGACCATTTTGAGCCAGGTCGTATCCCTGCCACCAGCCAACCTTCTTGTCTTTCTCTTGTCGTCTGTGGCATCGTATCTTTTTAATAAAGCTGCATTTTAAGGTGGACTTTTATAATCATTGGTCATAAAAGGTGCTCTTTGACTGGTATACTATCTGATCTTTCAAAACCACACATGACTGTGATGTAGATTAACTCAGTGGTTGAGAATTTCTCCCCAGCTGATCAGCTCAATAGGTTTTTGTGCACATTTTACTAATTTTAATCCTTTTCTAACCGTAAAAATAGATTTTTTAAAAGTTCTTCTTTAATTCAAAAAAATTGTATTTAGATTTTTGTCCAGTGTACGTATTCAGAATATTTTGATATAAGATGATCTTGCGTGGATGTAATTGGCTATGAGTACAGGCCAAGGTTTGGCTGTCCTACCTTACCAGAACATGTTTGCCCAGCAGAGTACATTGATTAATGGTTATCCAGTCCAAAAGTGAACCAAGTTGGTAAGATCAAAATACAAGTTTTACTGAAATTATTATGAGACTGATCTCAAAAACATCTCTTGCCTTTGAGGACTTTAGGGAGAGTCAGTGGTCATATGCGTCGGTGCCTATGCCCTATTATCCCTTACCTCAAGTCATACAACGGCATTTGTTATTTGGCACCACCATCTACCACGAGCCAGGTGGAGTTTGGACTCCACAAGAGAGTGATGTTGCATGAGGACAGGTACTACCAGTACACAATGCAAAGTACATAAACTGTGGATGCAAATAAACATGTCAAGTGTGACCTCCTGATAACTCTGACACAATAAATCTCAGAAGTGGTTTTCATGTCCTGAAAAGTCCTGAAAATCCCTCCCAAAATAGTTTGTGCCGACAGGGTTCATCCGTGCGAAAACTGGCAAGCAAAATAAAAGAAATGGTTCAAAATGGGAAATGGTGAAAGAAATTGTTATAATCCGCTGTTTAAAAATAACTGAAAGAGGCCTATGAAGGCACAAAGGACACTCTTAGTAAGTTTAATATACGTTAAGACATCGTTTTTAAAGCTGCTACAACCACTCTGAGTTAGAGTAATGAAAACAGCCTCTAAAGAGCACTCTGTAATTCAATTACACTTCTCAAATTCATTTTAGAAGACCTTCCCTTTAGTAGTGCTCTATGGATCCCTGCCCAGGCCGGTATTTTTTCATTTATTTACTCCGTGAAAGCAAAATATTGATGATGTGTCTTTTAAATCTTGGCATTTCATTTCTTTAAAAGGTCGTGGATGTAGCCAGATCTGTCATTTTATTGAAAAAGCTAAAATAAAGTATTAGTTATTTTCCTGTGTGTTCATGGTTATTATGCTTCAGAATACATGGGTGACCTAGAAATGTAACTGAATAATAATGAGAAAACTCTAACAGTTTGGCGGGTTGTCAGTACGGCGTAACAGTGGTGCTGATTATATCATACAGTATGCAAATGAAGTGAAGATGTTGACTTATAAGAGGTATTTTGTTTTCTATTTCTGGCCACATGGTGTTATGACAAAACATCTGGCTTATTTCTTTACTCATTTTAAAAGTCCATTTGCACTTGTGTTAGCTGAGCTTTCTTGGCTGTTTCTTTTCTACCAGGTGTTTCTGTCTCATAAAACAGCCGACTGCCTCATGACTTTACCGGGTTGCTGCGCAGACTGGCGGCAACCGAGTCCAAAGAATGTCCAATGAAGTAATGTTCAGCCATAATTAGTAGAGAAAAGACGTTTATTAGTGCTTTAAACAACAGTGAAGAGGGAATGGGAAACATCAGTATCCTGCTGGCTCAGATGACTAAAACATGTGAACATCACAGAAAGACAAATCATAAAGTCAGAAAATTTTCCATGGAGGCGTTTTATTGTATCGCAGATGGTTTCATGGCTGAACACAGTAAGTGCAGATTCCGAACGTGTCTAATCTTTAAGAATCTCCGAGTCCGCCGAACTGTTTCACACCGGCCTGCTGCCCGCCTCCTGCTGTGATGCGGCTGAGGGGGATGAGCTTCATGGTGGTCTCTTTCAGGGAGTACCAGCGGTTGTGCCATGTGACCCAAATGATGCCGTTGTCGTAGCCATACTCCCCTGCGTCCTTCTCTGTGTACCTGCCACCTGCAAAAGCAGAACACAGACGGGTTAGATATATGTTCAGGGGATAACAGTTTTGTCTTTGTGCCTGTGGAGTTGCTGAAAACACAATTATAGTCCACCAATTATGTAAATGACCCACAATTAGAAGACTTGGCAGTGGCTTTGGCCTCGGAGTCTTACCCTGGTAGTATCTTCCATTCAAATGTGCAGCGTGGCATCTGTTCATCCACCAGCCGGAGCCGTCCTGCAGGGCACAGTTGCCGTCATACTTGTCGTTGTCCTTGTCACCAGTGCTGAACTGCATGCCGTTGTGTGACGTATAGAACTTGTCGCTGGGGTCATCTCCAAAGTCGAAGCCATCGAAAGCATCTCCTGCGTCGCCGCCAAAGTAGTAGCCGTAGGTCATGCGGTACATGTCGGCCTCTGACCCGACTCTGAACATGGTGTAGTCGGCATACCTGGAGAGAGGAGAAGATTTTCTGTTAGGTTTTGGTTGAGTCTTTTTTTTTTTGTCCATCTTTGTATGTAACCTCACTATCGGTGGGTCATGTTTGCCTTGTCAGCAACCTCCCTCTGTTCTCCTCTTACATAATCTGTGGTGGTGTGTGCGTATGTACCTCTTGTTGCCGTCCCAGTCAACGAGCTCTATCCTCAGCACAGTGGGGATGGTGGAGCTGGCGGTCAGCAGATGGACCTTCTCGTTGCCGAGCCAGAATTCTGTGGTGTCGTCTGGGGAGAGATAACCGAAGCCCTGCTTGTACTGGACCCAGTTCTTCTTGAAGTCCACGCTGCCATCACGTCTCTGTGAAGGGATCAGAGTCAAAGTTGATTTGGCTTTGATTCTGCATTTAGTCAACAAAACATTTGCCAAATTCTTATAGATTTGAGCGCCCTTCTAAAAAGCAGCTGGCGGGGAGACTTCCTGAAAATGTTTTCTGTCACCTTTCCAATCTTTCATTTTTTAACTGACTGCAATAACGTGATTTTATCTCATTTAAATTATTGTTGTTGTTTTTTTCTAAATACTTCAGTGTTAAGTCATAATTTAAGACATTTCAAGACTAACAGAAATGCTAATCCCACTGGAGTGGGCCTTGTTTTCAAACCTCCAAACAGAAGCTTCAGAACCTCATCCAGCTCTAATACATAATCAGTTCGTTAGTTTCAGGGCTGACAAATTACATGCTGTTTATCCCACTATTATGATCCACCTCATTAACAAAATAATATTGAAGAGTTCATTTGCAAAAACAGATAACTCCATTTTTGTAGATTTTCAGAAAAAGTTTTTTGTTGTTGTTGTTTGCTTGAGATAATATCAATCAAACTGAAGTTGAGTGGATTTGACTCAGTAGAGATGACAAAAATAGAGATAACTTAAGTTTGATTGATGTTGTCTCAGGTCGCTGATGGAAAAGAGGGTTTTCTGAAGGTTTGTGAAGATGGAGTTATCTGTTTTTGCAATATGCAGGAATAATTCAGTGCAAAATGAAGACCACCCAGAGCCGTTTTCTTTCAGCTGTCCAGCGATGCGTACCCTTTGCATGACTGTGAAGCCGCGTCCAAAGCTGTCAATCTCGCAGTAGACCAGGAACTGCTCTGTTGCCTTTGCTGGCTTCACATAGTAAAGACCACTGGTGGTGGCGCCTTTGTTTGCAATGTCCTGACAATCTGATTGGGGAAAAAAAAAAAAAAAAATCAGAATTGAAGTTATGGAAGTGTGTTGTTGATTACTTAAGCAATTGCTGTTTACAATAAATCCAATAATAAACAGTCAGAATAATGCAAAAAGTTGGTCTGAATAATATATTACATAATTATGTCCTTTGAAAATGTAGGTCATCATCTAGAATAAATATGTTTACTCTGCCCTGATGCAGCGTATTGATTTTAGTCTCTAACTAAACACTGAACAAGGACAAATGATGTTCAAACGAGGCGAGATTGAGAAACTCCTGGTGAAAAGGGAACAGCCTGAGGGTCACGCTGGGTTTTTTTTTTTTCTTTTTCTTTACCTGTTCCTGTGGTGGTTTGGATCTCAACAGTGTCTTTGCAGGGCTCAGTGCATTTCTGTTGCAGCTCAATGGACATCTGTTTCAGGTCTGCCATTCTTCTCTCATTGGATGCGATTAAAGTCTGAAGTTCACTGGACAGAGTGAAACAAATATGAGTTGTATAAACTTTACCCTGAGTAATTCAAAGTTCCGCGTCATATTGGATGACAAAAAAAAAATAACCCTAAAAGACAATTTACTAAATCAAACTTAGAAGACGACATGGTTCAGTATGTAACGTGTATGGTTCTATGGGGCAAAGATTTGTGGGTGGAAAACCCAATCGCTCTACGATCTGTGCTCGCAGATCTGTGTGTGGGTGAGGAGGTAGGAGTACGTTGACCTGAAGGCGTAGGCGGCAGTAATGCTGCGATTTGAAAAACTTCCATTTCACATAAAAGCCTTGCATTCCGTTTACTGAAAGTCTGAGAAATTAAAGCGCGCCGTGGCTTATCTTAGAGAATTATACACAAGGTAAGAAGCATTTAAAACCTGGCACAGGAGACCTCATTTAATTTAAAGCCACACATCATAACTTAAAAAGCTGTTCATACGTTGTGAATAGAAATTAGAATCTGCAAAAAAAAAAAAAAAAAAAGACGACGAAGAAGAAATAATTGTTGCTTCTCTGCAAAAATGAACTGATGTAGTATGAGGTGGTACAAAATGGGAATACTTGGGTGGATCAAAATTAAGTTCAGCACTTGAGCAGATGTGCTTCTCCACCACTGGATATCAAGGCACTAAAGCTATGATTTGGGGGCAAATAGCGACTTACAATATTTGCTGCTCCTGCGCAATAATGGTCTTTTCAAATCGAAGAACATCATCCAGCATATTTGTGGACTTTTTGAAGTATGGATCTGAAATGAAGAGGCAACCGAGTTTGATACCTTCAGCATTTATATCAGGTCAGGTCATTTTACTTCTAGTGAAACAAACAGAGCTTTAGAGACAAATGTAAAACTGCTACATGATTATAACACAGTTGAATACTTCAAACTGCAGCTGTGTAAAGGTAGATGCTAATGTGGATGAATTTTACCTGGCTGGCTCGTTTTTTGAGCAGAAGTAGTTGAATCTTTCATGTAGACAATAGTTTCTTCTGCCCCTGTAGTCAAATTGGTAATTGTTTCCAGCTCCCTTTGCATATCATCCAAATCTTTGTTGACTCCGGGCATATACGTATACAGGTAATCAGCCACGCCACATGTAGTAGGACAGTACTTTCCCTAAATATGCAGAGAACACATTAAAAAAAACCATTTACCATAGTGTGCACATAGATACACATTTAAACACATTTAAACAGAAACATGTAAGATTTTGATTTCTAGCTGCACACTTACAAAGGCATCATTTGGGACACATGTTCCCAGGTTGTCTCCTCGGGTTTGCTATACAAAAAAAAAAAGACAAAGCAAGTTAGATTCTTGTGCTCAAGAACGCCATGTCAGTGAAATATATATTTGAATCTAAGCTGAGTGACTTACTGCTGATGAGAAGGCGATAAGTAAGAGAAGTCCTCCTGCTGCTGCGAAAAGTGATGGAGCCATGTTGCTGTGGCCACCAGTTGTGGTTTTGTCTTGTTGTAGAGTGAAGAGCTGCTCGACTCGGTGGGATATTTATCTGAACAAGGTCCTCAGTTCAGCCCTTGATAAGGAGTTCAAAGACAAACATCATCCCACTCACTTTGTTGTGAAAAGTCTGTGACTCAAATGTCTGACATGGATCATTTCCCAGATGTGACGGCGTCTGGAACTGCAGTTTAGTTACTAGAACACAGCTCCATGAACAGTATCTATATTTGTGTACATCCCAGTGCTGGGTACTTTAAAGGAATGATGACTCAACTTTTGTACCAAAGACCTGATGGCATTTATTTTCTTCTGTTGGATTTGGACTGGCAGCCAAACTGAGCTTGTCCCAGCTGATAACGTGGTCTGTAACAGAGTTTATTTGCTTTTCTTACTCATCATTTGATAAAAATAAAAGACAAATTGAGCATGACACATTCATTAAAGACACATTGACGTTTTATGCTCCGCAGGCATTAAGATTAAAGTTAAGCAGAGTGTTGAAATGGGAAATCTTAATTTTAGAATCAAACAAGTAAAACCTACAAAAACAGTTATTAGGACTTCTGAACAAAAAAAAACTGTGGCATATTATAAAGGCACTCTTTAATTTACTAAATCAAAATGATGAATTAGTATTTCATTATGATGACCTGTTACCATTAAGTTAGGTTGAACCAAATGTCCTGATTTTGACATAACAAGTCAAAACTATGACTTACTGCTGACTATTCTCTATATAAATTTTATTTTTTGGATTTTTCTCCCACCACAGCCAAGCTGTGATGAACCCCTTGCCTTAGCAGAGTAACCGTGTAATGTGCTAGCACTGACGTGAGGATTTAAGTTATTTGACTGTATGAGGTAGATAGCTTGGAGTTATTTCTGACAAGCACGTGTCCTTTAGCTCAAACATAAAACAAGTCTTCTGGATGGCCTTCCTTCACCTGTGCAAGATATAAAACAGAAGGACCACCCTGTCTCAGAGTGATGCTGAAAAATGAATTCATGCATTTATAACTTCTAGGCTGAATTACCGTGATCCTTATTATCAGGGGTTTCCCAGTAACTTTAAAAAAAATTTTTCAAAATTCTGAGAGTTCTGTCAGGAACCAGCAGGAGAGAGTTAAAGTCTATTGACTGGCAGAATAGAATTTAAAATCTGTCTCTTCACATACACCCTAAATGATCAATCTCCCGAACTCTTTGACTCCAGGCTTACTTTCAGTTTCATAGAGTTTCCAGAAACAGAGCGGGAGGCAGAGCCTTCATTTATCAGGCTCCTCTGCTGTAGAATCACCTCCTGGATTGGGTTCTGGATGCAGACACTTTTCTGCTTTGAGGATTAGACTTAAAACCTTACTTTTCGTGCCAGCTCAGGTAACTGTAACCACCCCGTAGTTAGGCGGCTATAGGCTTAAACTGCCTTCCATGATGCACTGAGCCCCTCTCCTCTCCTCTGTGTCTCTCTCTATACATGCATTTGCCACCACTGCACGTCACTGTGTGTCTTCTCTCTCCTGTAGTTTGTATTTTCTCCTCTCTGCAGGTGTCTGCATGTTTCTGATCTGCAGTTACCGGCCTCACCAACCTCCTCACTGTTCATACTTCTCTCATGTGTTGTTTGTCTGCTTTCTTTCTGTTACCTCCCTTCTCTCTCTCCTGTTTGCCGTCACCACAGTAGGTGGCTGCCCTGAGCCTGGAGGTTTCTTACCTATAAATGTTATTTTTCTCCCAACTCTTGCCAAATAGCTGCCTTAAAAAGAATCTTGGAAAAAGGGAATCTAAAACTGAATTAAACAGAACTGAAGGTGTTATTTTGACTCAGGTAGGCTAGTTAAAATTGCCTAATTTGGAGAGAAACGCAGCATATCATTTTTGATCGTAGCTTCTGTATGAACATGTGTTTTATCTCGCTCTTATTTTGAAGGTCGTCTGCACTTGCTTGTAAAACCACTAGTGGGAGTGGAACCATGATAAACCTGAAACACACACACATGCAGTGACTGAACACACTTTATAGTGAACTACTTGACCAGCATACAGATCAATACAATGAATTTAATAAAGATTTCTCATGAAAACGTCTCTCCATCTTTGTTAAAGAAAAACAGTCTTTGTATAAAGATCAGGGTCAGTGCTACATTCAACCGTTTCCTTTGGACTCTTTGCAGTCTGTATTCCAGATGAGTGCTAACGATTTTCTTCCTCTCGTCTTCAGGGAAAACGAGATTTTCTGAGAACATTAAGGAGCTACGTTGAACTCTTGTTCTGTTGATGAAACATGTGCAGCTGAGTTATTGTTGACTGAAGTGGAGCCAAACACTCTGATTAAAGACAGATCAAGAAAGCAGAGAAAAGGAAAGCTTCCCTAAATAGAGCAAATGTATGATTAATGAATATTTATGATGCTCTGTGTCAACCCCAGAAAAGTTTTTACATTCTCCGATGTGTCTTGAGAACAGGCAGCCTTGTTTTTACAGTAACTGATTCTGAGTCGTATTTGAAATGCTTTCATTTGCCCTTTAATTTAGAGGAACATTTAGCAGTCTATCCAGAGTAAATCTCATTACCAATGTTATCTGCTTCATCTGCAAATGAAGTTTTGCAGATGATGTTAGGATATAAATTCGAGATGCTTCCACAATGAAAAACTTAATCACAACAATCCCTTCATTCAGGACCCTGTCTTCATGATTTTTTTTTGTTTTTTAAGGAGAATTCAAGTCTTTTAGAAACCCCAAGGGAGTTTATATTCTGCAGTGTAAAGTAGAACTAACTCTTGTGTGTCTTGTTTTTGGACTATTTTTAGTCAATGCATGGATAAGAGATTCAGTATTCCTCACTATGATTTCATAGCCGAAGGTTTTGAAACACTGTTTTGACCATGTTGGGAAATAACAGCAGACTGAATGAAAAAATACAGCCGTCAAGTATTTTATTGGCTGTTTGGTCCGACTTGTTTGGGGTTTAGGGGCCTGCTGGGGGAAACTGTGCGATCACTTTGCCAAAGAAAGACTTATCAGAGCAGCAAGCAGACAAAAACAAAGAAACAGACAGAAGACTTTCATTTTAAATCATTCAAGTAGGCATGGGGGCTGCAAGGTGGCACAGTTGGTAG